GCTAGGGGCTCTTCCTGCGACCTTGCCGAGACCAAAATGGGCTCGGCAAACGAACCCTCCATCCGAATGAAAAGGATATGTGAGGGGCGAATGAAAAAGTCAGAAGACCCCCGACCGTCCTCTTGCTCCAGGCGGAGGCTTGGGGGCTCCTCTTGCACCCAAAAACCAAGACAAAAAACACGATAAAAGGCACCGAGCCCGTTACGGTCCAGGGGTTCGAAGGCTGGGCCTCCAAAGAGGTTTTGACAGCCGCCCCAGGGCAACAGAGTCAGGGACGACTTCGGGGCGAGCCTACGAATGGCCCAGGCCCGAACGAACAATCGCTCGCGGCGTCCTAAGTCATGTCCGAGACCGACAGGAAAGTATCCGAATGGGATCCCACCGTAGGGAGGCACCGAGCCACCGAGGCCCAGCGAACGGCCTCGGCACCCACTAGAGAAATCCTCCGGTACTTTTGGAGTGCGTCTCTGGACCGCTAGCCGTCCCCTAGCGAATGGGGCTTAGGCCTCCACTCGGACTACCCGATAACAGCTCACCGAAAGTGTCCACGCTCGCGCCCATCGAGGGTAGCATGACACATTCCACCCCTCCTTCCGAGCGAAAGGAAGCATGAGGGACATACCCAACGTCAGGGGGACCCCTGACGAACCTCTCGCTCCATGCGGAGGCTAGAGGGCCTTTTTTTGCAACCTCGCCGAGACCCCCGCAACCCGAACTTGCGCTTATGGGCTCGGCAAATGCAATAAGAGCTGATCACTCAAACGCGAAAGTGGAGAAAGCCCCCGGAGGAGTAACTTCACTCCTCCGGGGCTCAGGAGAACTACACCCGTGAGTGCGCTCACAGCACCCACCGGAACCTCGAAAACAAACCAATTCCTCACGGAGCAGGCATAAACCCAGCCTCGACGAACCCTCAGGAGAGTGCACGCACTCACCCCGAGGCTCGGGGCCACTTGTCGGGTACTACTTTAGAACGGGTACCCCAAGCAAACATCAAAATAAAGCTAGAAGGTAAGCCGTGGGCCCCTCACTCACACGACCGAGCCCTCCTCCACCTCGCCTTGAGCCTCGGCAGGAGGTCTCGGAACAAACTCCGCCATGAGGCCCCCAGTGGTAGGTCTCGGCGGGGCGCCGAGCCTCGGCGAGGGCGCCGTCTCCGTCTCGCCCGAGGCTATCCAGGGAAGGCCTCGGCAGGGGTACATTCTCCGTATCGCGCGAGGCGTCTCGCGCAAGGCCTCGGCAAGGAACCTGATCTCCGTCTCACGCGAGGCCTCATTCTCCGTGTCGCTCGAGGCCGGCTCGTCCGCGGTCCGTCGCCCCCCGCCTCGGCCGACCCTCCCAACAACTCGTCATGTCTCATTAATGCTTCAACCACTCCCGCAATCTCAGCCGGACGGTGGCTCAATGCCACAGGATGGCCGACGCGACCCGAGGTCGCGTACGACGGGGTTACCGACCACTGTGTCCTACCATTGTGTCCACGATCAGCGCCATACCGGCCGGGACAGGGTACGACGGGGATTACCGGCCACTGTGTCCTACCACTGTGTCCACGATCAGCACCATACCGGCTGGGACAGGGTACGACGGGGATTACCGACCACTGTGTCCAAACGCTGTACCCATGATTGGCCGCCCGCTCAAGGCCTCGGCACTGTACACCGGGGCCTCGGCGATCTTGAGGTTCATGCCTGCCGAGACCCCCCCACCGCAGTGCCAGCCTCGGCATCGACCAGGTCTCGGCCTCGCGCACAGTCCGTCCACAGTGGCTTGCACGTTCGCCGCCGCGTCCACTCCGAGGCATTCCCGGGGCTCCCACGACGCACAGGATCTGATGGGATGACCACGCCGCCCCAGTACTCCAAGGATGGACCACTCCGACGGCCACACCGCCATAGGAACAGGCTATAGGGCCCGGACACGCCGCCTCTGTTCACACGACGCCGTATAGTCAGCTCATGTACCGCCCTAGTCCTCCCTTCATGCTATAAAAGGAGAGGACCTGGGTTGTTTTAAGGGGGAGGTAGACCTTGTAACACACACGCACACTCCTGCCGCCGGAGAGCAACGTCTCAAGCGGCCCGCACGGCACCCTGCCGAGACCTAGGACCAGCTCCTTCTCTCCTTTAGCTTGTAACCCCCTACTACGAGCACCTCGGTGCAAGGAATACAAGATCGATCTCTCAGACTGGAAGTAGGGCATCGATTGCCTGAACCAGTATAAACCTTGTGTCTCTTTGCATCACCATCCGGATTGGGAGCACGCAGAACAAATTCACTGGTTGGTTGAGGACCCCCCGGTCCGAAACACCGACACTACCAAAATCATGTCAAAATACTGCTAAAATCTTGACTAAAATCAAGTCAAAGTCATGCTAAAATTCTGACTAAAATCAAGTGAAAATGGTGCTGAAATTAAGACTAAAATCATTGCAAAATGCTGCTGAAATTCGGCCTAAAATCAAGTCACAATGCTACTCAAATTATGACTACAATCAAGTCACATTGCATCACAGTCAGACAACAAACACATAACTTCAAGCAACATCCATCCATCCATTGATTCATTCTTAATTCATTACATTAAGACTGATTCACAGTCACTTAAACATTTGGGCAACAACAAAACCTAGAAGTGCACCAACAAGCACACCTACAACAACAGATACATCCAACACAATCTGCAATTTCCTATGACCCAAATCCTGCCTTGGTTCACTGACACTGTCCTACCTTAGACGAACATCACCAAGTGGCCACGCACCAGTTTGCATCTTCATTTTCCAAACTTCATTGACAGCATTGTCCAGTCTCTGCTTCACTTTAGCTAGCTGTTCCATCAAATCACCAATGTCATCTCCACCGTGAAATGGCACCTGCTTCTGAATCTGCTTCCCTTGCTTTTGAGCCTCTGATCGCACAAAGGCCTCGTACTGTTCCTCAGACCGGATCCATCCACATGTTGTTGGATCACCCTACTTACCCTAGATCAGTTCAACTAAAACCAAATCAGAAAAAAAAAATCAAAAAACGCCGCAAATCCTCACCTTTTCGTTGTTGGGGCACTTCACGAACCACTCGTTCAATGAGTTTGGTTGCTTGCTCTGGATTCGGATCAGAGGAACATGGCAATTGGGGCAGTCCAGTAGGGGGGCATGCCCCCTTCTGGTGCCACCAGCGGTGGAGCTCGAGCTCATATCCACGAGCCCCTTGCGTCGTCGTCGTCAGGTCCCTGCTGCACCGCGTCGCCGTCAGGTTCGCCGCCGCCACCGTCGCCGAAGTCGCCACCACCACCGCCAGGTTAGGGTTCGAGCAAGGGTGAGAGAGAGGGGGAGTGCGGGAGAGTGAGACTGAGGAGACGGCAGAGGTAACCGAGCCGTTTACTTGAGGAATGGAAGACGGATGGATACGGTCAAGTGTATGCCACGTAAGCCTACGAGCGGGCCCAAGCATTTGGCGGGTGTAGAGTGTGGCATATATCAACGTATGCGAAATTTGTAATGGTGTGCTTCGGGATAGACGAATAGTAATGACAAATCTCAGAATAAAGATGGCAACGGGTACAGAATACCCGCGTACCCGCGGATATCAAACCCGACGGGCGCAGATACGGGCGACAGAGTGCATCCGCGGGCACGGGTGCGGGCAGAGTTTTAAACCCAACGAGCATTTGTTAACGGGTAAGAAAATAGCCTATCCGTATCCGCAAACCCGCCTTACCTACCTGACATGTGGGGTCACGGCCAACCAAGTTATATTGGAAGACAGAAACCATAGAATCCCCACTCGGCCACCCCAGCGCCGCAACCAGGGTTCGCCCGCGATGCATCCCTTCGCGGAATCGCACTGCGCGACTGCGCCGCGGCCAGTCCGCTCGCGCCCCTGCCCTATGTGACCGTCGCGGCGCCGTAGCCCACCGCCCCGCCCCGCCCCATGCCAGAATGTTGATGGCCGCTGGCCTCCAACCCCCTCCCGCTCGCCGCTCATCCAGGGGCTCGGCGCGACCGCGCAGGCGGCGTAGCGCGCTCGGCCACCGCCCGCTCTAGGCTGGGGCTCCAGCCAGGCCCGAGCCAGCCTCGCTCCAGTCCCTCTCGCCACCTCCTCGTCGTTCCCCATCCTCCTCACCCGCCGGTACTCCTCATCCTTTCTCGCCGGTGGTCCTCCTCCCTGCTGGTTCTCCTCCTCCTCCCCCACCGGCGCTCCTTCTCCACCCACCGGTGGTCCTCCTCCCCGTCGGTTCTAGGAGCTCGCGGATCTGGAGGCGGGGTCGCCGAGGAGCTCGCGGATGAAGCTCAGTCGCACCATCTCCCCGCGTCCTCTCTCCGGCGGCCCTCTGCATCTCCACGCTCGGCATGGCAGAGCGATGCACGATGGCGGGAGTGGCGTGCAGTCGTAGGATGGCGCGTCGGCGAGCTCGCCGTAGCTCGGACGGCCGCGCAAGGAAGGCCCGTGCTGCCCACACGTCTCCCGGGCAACGACTGCTGGAGTGCTGGCCCCACAGGCCACCATCTTCGCCCCCACACCGCCGTCCCGGCCGCGCTGGACGCCATCTCCGCCCTGCAGGCCACCATTGTCTTCCCCCATCTGGTGGGTACGTGGGCATGCCCGCGGGCGAGCCTTGCCCGCGGATAGCGGGCACGGGCACAAGTTGCTGCCCGTGGCGGGTGGCGGGCACGGGTGCGGACACAAGATTTTTTCTGTGGGCGTGGACGTGCAAAGCCACTATCCGCGCTGATATTGCCCGATGCCATCTTTGTCTCAGAACTTCGAGAATTATAATGGCCTCGTTCTAAATAACCCAAACAAAAAAATAAAACAAGCGAAGAGCGAGAGCGAGGAGAGACAGAGGAGGAAGCAGAGCAGGGGAAGGAAGGAGGAGGGCGCTTGGATCGGCATCGGCAGTGGAGAGGGAGGGCTGCGGGACGGGAGGTCCGTTCGTGCCTCTGGGTCGGATCGGCGGCGGCGGCGGCGGAGGAGGAGGAGGTGCAGGGGAGGGGAAAATGGCGAGGACGCCGGCAGCGGGGTCCGCGCTGGGGATGGAGATGCCGATAATGCACGACGGGGACCGGTACGAGCCCGTGCGGGACATCGGGTCCGGCAACTTCGGCGTCGCGCGCCTCAAGCGCAACCGCGCCACCGGCGACCTCGTCGCCGTCAAGTACATCGACCGCGGCGACAAGGTACGCTTCCCCCTTCTTCCTCTGCAAAGCCGGCCGTCGACTCGTGCTCATGTCGTGTGGCGTGCTGTGCTGGCTTTGGCGTTGCAGATCGACGAGAACGTGCAGCGGGAGATCATCAACCACCGCTCGCTGCGCCACCCCAACATCATCCGCTTCAAGGAGGTGAGGCGGGCGGCCAGGCTGCCATCACTCACCCACCCTCTTCTTTCCTGGCGAATCTGAACGGGAACGATTCAAAATTCTGAAACACTCTTGTTGCTTCCCTGCTTGTGGTTCTTCACTTCAGGTCATCCTGACCAAGACTCACCTCGCGATCGTCATGGAGTAGGCCTCGGGCGGGGAGCTCTTCAACCGCATCTGCAATGCCGGCCGGTTCAGCAAGGACGAGGTGCCCGTGCCTCCCCTGATCTGACTGCTCGCCTGACAATATCTGCTGTGCCAATTTTTCGCATGCTCCTGTGTACTAGTGTCGATGCTGACTCTGAACTCTTGCGTATGTTCATTGTTCAGGCTCGCTTCTTCTTCCAGCAGCTGATTTCCGGGGTTAGCTACTGCCACTCCATGGTAGGAGTACTCCATTGCTCCTCTGTTCATTTTTCTCCTTTTGTGTGCATGGCTAAAATTGCTCTGTTTCGTGATTCGTGGTGTGATCAAGCAAGTATGCCACCGTGGTTTGAAGCTCGAGAACACTCTGCTGGATGGAAGCACCGCGCCTCGCCTCAAGATGCGACGTCGGTTATTCAAAGGTACAACTACTAAAGCTCACTTTGTTTTGCTACACTATTCAGTGCTTACTTGTACCGTGCCTGATGATTACTGTTATGGCCTGCGTATGGATCATGCACAACACAATGTTGTTACTTACCAGGCTGCTGTAGTATAGTTTGCTAACTGCCAGAAAAGAAAGATTACTTGTGTTGAATACTGTTATGGCCTCCTCCCCCCTTTTTTTCCCCACCATATATTCCAGTTCTACTAGCTGCAGTCATATCCATCCATCCATACATTTAAACCCTGATACCAATTTGCAGAAAATACTGGGTGTTCAGTACGCGGTTCCTGACTACGTCCATGTATCTCCAGAATGCCGAGACCTGATATCAAGGATTTTTGTTGCCAACCCAGAAGATGTGAGCTGCCAAATACTTATCCCCTTTGCAGCGTCAGTCACTTGATTGTTCAGAAATTCAGATCGATGTGGCATGACATATGTTGCATGGTCTTTGCAGAGGATCACGATGCCTGAGATAAAGAGCCATCCTTGGTTCGTCAGGAACCTCCCAGCTGACCTCGTGGGCGATGGCACGGTGAGCTACGAGGAGCCGGACCAGCCGATGCAGAACATGAACGACATCATGCAGATACTGGCGGAGGCAACAGTACCAGCCGATGGCGCCCGCGGAACGACCCAGTTGTTGTGCGACGACCTTGATGACTTTGACGACGACATGGACCTGGACCTCGACATCGAGAGTGTATGCCATGTAATCATGCCAATGATTGCTGGCCGTCCTCACTGTAAATCAGTCTGTCGAGAGTTGCTGATGCTCTGGTTGGAACTTGGAAGAGCTCCAGCTTAAGAAGCGATCACTGTTCTGTGGCATGGTGATCGTTTGACGCCCTGAATCTAACCGTTGATCCATACTGTACCGCTGTCTATTGTGTAGCATACTAGCATGTAGAACTTTATCATGTACATTTTGAGAACCGCTCCTTGGTCTCTCTTTGCTGAAACTGAAAAATGGAAATGCTGTTTATGTTGTTATATCTTTAGCCCATTTATATAGTTGTGTTTTGTGCGAAGAGAATAGAATACTACAGTACTGTTTTCTGCGGTTATTTTGTTAGTGCATTTGTATTTTGGAACGAGGAGTTGAAGCTTTGCCACCGAAGAGTGAAGAGTGGATGCATGAACACTTGACTGAACATGTCAAAATTGGCCGGTGGATTGATGACTCTCCCTGCACTACACAGGGGGAAGCAACATATAAACATCATCATATATGTACACGGTCAGTTTGGAAGCCACAGCATCCAGAGACGTGACATCAGTCCGCTAGCCAGTCCAGGTCGTAGCACTCTTCGGTCACCTGCACCCGGAGGTCAGGGATGACCTGCTCGGCCTCCCTCCACAGCAACGCCGTCTCCTCGTCGCACACGACGTGGCCGAGGGACTTGAGCGACGACGACGACCGCGGGAGGCTCCTCAGGCGCGAGCACTCCCGCATGTCGATCTTCTCCAGGCTCGTCAGGTGGCCGAGCTCCTCCGGGAGGTCGGTCAGGTTGATGCACTGCGATATGTCGAGGTACTTCAGCCTCTTCAGGCTGCAGACCGACGCTGGGAGCCGCCACAGCGCCGGGCATGCGTACACCCGGAGGATGCTCAGGCAGTGCAGCTTGCCCAGCTCGTAGGGAAGCTCGGTGAGGTCGTGGCAGTTCGAGATGGAGATGGTCTCGAGCGAGCTGATCTCGCAGATACTTGATGGCAGCTCCTTCAGGTCTATGCAGTGGTCGATTGTGAGGTTGGAGAGGCGCGGAAAAGTCATCGACAGGTCCATCGTCGATCCTCTTAGGCTGCTGTTCAGCTCGCAGAGGACGAGGGAGATCTTGTGCAGGTTCTTCAGCGGGATGGTGGTCTTTGGCAGCGGCGGGAGCCTGATCTTCTCCAGCCAGAGACTCCTCAGGCCGTTGAGCGTGGTGAAGGCCGTTAGGTTGTCAAGGGCTGCACTGCTGGTGCCGTAGTTGATCAGCACCAGGGCTTTCAGGTTCTGCATCGTCGCGATGAACGGTGGGAGGTAGTACAAGCTCGAGGCGAAGTTGAGGATCAGCACTTCTGCCTTGGGGAAGCTCATCTGGAACCAGTCAGATTCTTTCATTTCACCTGGAGTTTTGGAAATAGTTTGTCAGATCATTCTGTCCCAAGGAAGAAAGCACATGCATGAAATATGAAGGAAACGTTTCAGAACAAAGCTACAAAATCATGTTCCTCTAATACTGGTGTTAAACAGGAATTTTTGGCATTGAATATGTTGGATGACAATTTTTTGGCACTGAATATGTTGGATGACTAATTCTGTACCTGTATGAATGGAAACTATCTGAGCTTCAAACGGAGTATCCTTATTCCTCTGCCAATCCCTCGGAAGTGTTTCTTCCCTTCTTGGCATCACCAACCGCCTCCGCTTGTTCAGAGGGTCACGCCCACTCATGTGAAGAGCAAGATCTCTCAACACATCATGTTGTGTCACCGAGTAGTCATGGTAGCTACTGTACAAATCTCCAGCCTTGTTCCTGCAAGCAGAGCAGCAAAGGGTTAAAAACCCTGTTATTTGGGACATCTCAATTCCAGAATATTTTGAAGCACATAGATGGCTGATGATACATACTGTGCATCATTGACGAGGGTAAGAAGGTTCTTGTTTGAAAGCTCAACCAAGATGGCAAAAGCATCTGGTTCATCAAGGTCATGAATCTCCATCCAGATGTTGATCAAGACATCAAGGGGGATCTTCTTATCTTCTGGGAAGCAGCCCAGATCAAGGAAACAATCTCTAACCTTCTCTGACAAGCACTCAACGCTTGCCCCCATTCTCTCTAGAAGCTTGGTCTCATGGGAGTCAGAAATAGCCTCTCCTCGAGACAACCGGTTCTTGGCGCTGAGCCATATCATAGGAGGCTGATCGCGCAACGATGCACCAATGACTTTAAGAGCCAGAGGAAGACCTCTGCACTCTGCAGAGACCTGCCTAACCAATTTCTTGTCAGCAGTCTGCGGAACAGACTCCTGATCGAAAGCAGCACGGCAGAAGACAGACAAAGCCGCTGCCTCATCTAGCAACTGCATTTCATATGTCTGCTTTACCAACGTGGGGAACTTGAATCTTGATACAACTAGAGTCTTGCACCCAGGGAACTTGAAGATGAGCTCCTCAAGCTGTGGGAGAGACCAAACATCATCAAGGATTACAAGGACAGGTCCTCGGTCCCTTGGTCCTAACTTGAGCTGCCATTCTGGGATCTGGTTGTATGCACCAAGCACGATGTTGCCGCTGATCTGCTCCCACAGCTTCATCTTGATGGTCTCCAAATTTGCGGATTGTGAGATCGTCTCAAAGAAGATCCTATCATTGAAGTAGGCTGTAGAAACAAAGAGAGTATGTAAGAGTCATGAAGGGGGGAAAAGGCTTGCAAAAAGGGATCAGATATGTATACACAAGCTTTCTATGAGATCCAAAATCATGAAGCTTAGATGAACTAAGGTTTGGGATAGCAGTCACTTCAAATCGGCCATTAGATGTTGTTGTGGCAATTGAATTTAAGTTTAGTATGATCTTTTTTATGGAAAACAGAGATGATGGAGTTATGAACACAGGAAGCTCAAATTAGCTCTCTTATTACTGCTAAACCAACATAGCCAATCCCAAATCCTTGCACTAAAAGAAGACCCTACCTCCAGATTTTTTTCCGAAGCAGCAGGTTACTTGGATCTGAATTGGGTTTATTCTTTGTGAAATAGATTTGGTTAGTCTCATGTGCCGTTCATTAAGCAGGTATCTATCTTGATTTAAGATCAAGTAGCCACCATGGTCCATGAACACGATAAGGCTACTCAAGTCCAAGCAGAGTTTCAGAGTAGCTGAGTTGTGAGAGTTCAGAAGCAATCTAACCTCATCGCAATAGTACAGTTGCCACTAGCTGGTCAAAGCGCCAAATTTGACCAAGCATGTGGCGTGGGGAAAAAAAAAGCATCAACCTCGCCTTTACCTAATTGCACGACAGGCACGCAAACCAACCACCGAAGATGCCATGCCCCCCAATTTGGAGAATCTTGCACCCAATAATTCATGGGAAGATGCAATTTTTGCACGAAAGGACAGGACGATTCCGAGAAAGATGCGACCTTTGCACACGATTTGGAAAAGGATTGAAGGTAAAAATGGTTAGTATCTGGTCCCTGTTCTCCTTACCTCGGACCTTGTGATCCCTGAAGATCTCCATGGCGAGCGTGGTCTTGCCGCTGCCGCCCATGCCGGAGATACCGACCACCTCCCAGCCGCCGCCGCCGCTCATAACCATCTCCTTCACCTTTTCCTTGGCCACCTTGACGCCGGCGCCAACCATCCCCTCGTCTTCATGTCCCTCGGTGAGGTCCATGTCCATGGCCATGACCCCGGCCTTGGCGGGCGCCGCCTTCATCGGCACCGACATAGACACAGCCATGCCCTTGTGCGGCGGCACCTCCATCGGCACAGCGGCGAAGGCGGGCTTGGCGAGCGGCGCCTCCATCGGCATGGGCACGCCCTTGTGCGGCGGCGCGACGGGGACGGAGAGGGCGGGGGGCGCCGGCGGCTGCGCGGCGGCGGCGATCTCCTCGACGCGGCGCTCGAGGCGGCCGATGCGGGCGTCGGCCTCGTCGCGGAGCCTGCGCACGCCGCTGATGACGTGGGCGGGGGCGTGGCGCTCGAGCCAGCGCGCGATGCCGCGGTCGGCGGCCTCCATCCGGCGCGACAGCTGCGCGGCGCGGTAGACGTTCCAGCGCGGGGACGTGGCGGCGCGGCGGGCCAGGTCAAGCGCCTCCCGGACCCGCGCCGCGAGCTCGCCGAGCTCCCCGGCCGAGCGCTGGCCGGCGTGCGGGCCCAGGCCCTGGACGAGCGGCAGCAGCGGCTCGACGCTCCGGCGCAGGCGCTCGGCGGTGGAGCGGCAGAACAGGGTGCCCTGCACCGCGTGCAGCACCTCCCGCAGGGCCTCGCCGGCCAGCTGGTCGAGCACCAGCCGGTCCATGGTTGGTCGCGTCCTCCGATCCGCGGCCGCTAGCTAGTAGCTCGGATCGAGCTCCTCGTCGCCTTCCTCTATCTCTATCGCCGCCCTCGGCTCTGCTTCTGCTCCTTGTCCTGCTTGCGTTGCGTGTGCTCGGTGGAGTTGTTCAGCTGGGTGAGTGAGCGGTCGCCATCGGCGTGGTGGAGGCGGCCGTCGCGTGTGGTATGGCGGGGCGGGGAGTGGAAAGGAGGAGACTAGTTATAGGGAGGCGGGAGAGTGGGACACGGCGGTTGGGGGGTCAACCGCCGCGGTGAGGGGTCGCCGGCCACTGGAGCTCAGATCTGAGGGGTTCTCGGTCACTGACACCGCGGCCGCCCACGTGGGCCCATCCCGCCGTGTCCACACCGCTAGTAGTCACCAAGGTAGACCAGAAAGAAACCTCACTTAACCAGTAGACCTGAGCTAGCTTGGTTTACTTCTGGAGTTTGGCCTGTCTAGCTTGTGTCTAGGTTAATTAGTGGGAAAGAATGAAACAAAGGGCAGTAGTGCTTTCATGTTTTTAAAAAAAAAATATATATGTGACTTGAATTAACATGTCAAACGCCCTTTATTAAACTGTAATAGTACACTTAGGCTGTCATCCCTCTCATGTCTCTCACATGCATATTCAGTTGTCAGAGATGTGGCAAAGCCACCGGTTATACTCTAGATTAGTAATTAGTATGGAGGCCACATGCATGTTCCCCTCCCTCTCTCAATCTCTCTTAACCTTAATCACATGAGAAATAAAACTCATGTGAATATGTGATTAAAGATTTCAAAGACTTGAGAGTCTTGGAGATGGATCTGAGTCTTGTTTGGTTAATGAGTTGTGGAGAGTACATTTGACACTTGACAGCCAAATAGTCTTTGTAGGGTAGCATACATGCATGTAGCCGATGGTACAAGGTGATATTAACTTGTAAGATTAGATTGCCAGTTGCCACCTTGTTATAGCCACCCAACATGGTCCTTTGCATCTTGCTCACTATTAGGTTGACCACCCATTATGAAAATTGCTAGTGACACTGGTACTTGTAAGATCAGATCACCATAGGTTCAAAAAAAAAAAGATCAGATCACCATAGTTTGCATACTCCGAACTCCGTAGTTAAAAGAGAATGGCATTCAAGTTTTGTCTAAGCCTATATAAAAATACATATATTTATATTACCAAATAAATATCATTAGATTATCATAGAACAATATTTTCATAGTATACTATTTGGCGTAAAAATGTGGACAATCTTTTGTATAAATTTATTAGTCAAGCTTACGATAATCTATAATCTAGCCACTTACCTAAAAGGTCCTTATAATTGATTGAAAGCTCATACAATCTTTTCATGAATGACGGCATACTCGCCAATTATTAATCTTCAGAAAATTAAATAAATATGGAGTTGTTGAGAAGATGATGCATATGCATGATTTGGAGTATTGATAGTTGTTTAATTCATTGTTTTTTCTTGCAGTGGCAAGATTAGGGGTGCTAGAGTACATCTCTGGTATGGACGATATGAGCGTCAGCCACAGCACTTGTAGCTATTTGAGCAATTAAAATGAGCACCACTAAACTTTCTATGGGCTTTGACCAAGCAATGATCCAACACAGCGGCTAGTGGAGACCTCATTATTCATCACATCCACGGACTATGATCATTATTACGAGATATCCAAAACTCGGGCCCGGCCCCTTTTTGTCAAATCTGTACATTTTGTATTTCAGTATATATTCAAGAAACTACGGAAGCAGCTTTGAAGCCAAATGAGTACACATAGATGTACACCTCCCTCTATTGGTGAAGAGTTTTCATGTGGTCAAACATGCTCACGTGATTTGAGTTTTCGACTTAGCATCGATTCTCATATTTTTAGCTAACTATCATTACTGTATTGAGATCATCGGCGACGAGGCGTACATGGTAACTTTGCCAATCTCAACATCTTCTGATTCAATCTCAACGTACACGCGTCTATTGAAAAACAATGAGCAAGCTAGTCTTACAAATCAAACAAGTTTCTCTATGAGTCCATGATATATAGTGTCATTTCATTTTCTCAATCAGTTACTAATTATAAAATGTTATTTATTTTAGTGTCCTATTTAATAGGGTACTCTACCCATTCTCACTTTAGCTTTGTTCTAAGTCAAACTTGTCTTACTTTGATCAAATTTGTACAAAAATGTATTAGCATCTATAACTTCAAATAAATGCAGTGTCAAAACATGTTTTATAGATAATTTAATGAAACTAATGTGATATTGTAGATGGTGTATTTTTATATAAACTTAGTCAGAATTAGAGAAGCTTGACTTCGGAAGAAGCTAAAACGCATGATCCATAATTTAGAACAAAGGGAGTGTAGGAACTAAGAAACAAAATTATTTTCTGTGGCTTACAAGTGTGGATCAAAAGCGGATGGTCCCTGTCGAGCATTACTACCTTAAAAACTGAAACTCAATTTATAAGCGTTAGGTAAGTGAACTAGGGTTTTGTAGTATTATTATAGGAGAACCATTCGCTCAAATGAGTAATAGGATGGTTTTATTGTCGAGTGTGATTCTCGAAGATAGAGGATCAGGTGCATCACACTATTACAGAACACATCACCCTGTGTGTGTGTATATATATATATATATATATATATATATATATATATATATATATATATATATATATATATATATATATATAGTATTCAGTAGCCAACTACAAAATAAATTATTCTATAGCCATCTCTATTTACAATAATTCTATATATTAATTTATAATAATGTCAATACATATTTACGATAATTATGTTACTATAACATATGAGGATATTTATCATGACATTATAATAAATCACTTAGTAAAAAGTTACTATAATCATGAATATTAGCATAATAATTATCGTAACTCAAAAGTGACTACAAAATAAGTTATTCTATAGCCAGCTGTAAAGTAGTAGTTCTATATATATATATATATATATATATATATATATATATATATATATATATATATATATATATATATATATATATATAAACCGAAAATATATAATACATGCACCGATAACGTTTTCTACATCTTATGGACTCTCCCCAGACAAAAATGGCACACATCTATTACTACTTGTCGTTGAAAACGAAATATTATATATGTTCACTTTCCTTGATAATAAAATATCGATAATGATTCTAGGAGGATGTCCGTCCGCCCGCCCGCTGCCGCCTGTGCCTCGCCGCACTCCGAACCTACTAGCGCCCCGGGACAGACGCCGCGCCCACTCCCAGCTCACTGCCGTCCCGTCTGCCCGTGCTCCCTCACTCCCTCCTCCGTGACCTCCATTGCAACCCCGCGCTCCCTAGCGACCCGGCTCGCTCCCCCCACCGAAGACGAGGATGGCGGCGGCGGCTTCAATGAGGTAGGTCATTCACTAGTACAAAAATGATTTTTAGAGGCGTCTTCCTTTTCTAACAGAAGCGGTTGTCTTAGCACATCATCACTAACCTTCGCGGAAGTCACTGTAGCTATACAACCGTTGCTAGAAATCAATTTTTAGAGTCGGTTCCATTAAGAAATCCGCCTCTAAAAATGTATCCACTTTTAGGGGCGGTTCCATTAAGAGAACCGCCTCTGAAAATGCTATTTTCAAGGACGGTTCCTGAAAATGAGTGATTTTCAGAGGCGGTTCTTTTAAGATAACCGCGTGTGAAAATCGATTTTATGAGGCGGTTGACTAAGTCAACCATCCTTAAAAATAGCTGCAGCATAAATAAATTCATATCTTTTTTAAATGAAGTTGGATGAAGACAAACTTTATATCAAAATTGTAGAGCTCGACGAGATCTAAAACTTTGTAGTTGATAAATTTTTTATTTGAGATCATTTAGGGTTTCAAATATATAAATTGAGCCTCAGATTTTGAATTTCAAATTTTTGAATTTTTTAAATGACCTTGGATGGAGAAATATTATATATCAAAGTTGTAGTGCTCGACGAGATCTAAAACTTTATAGTTGATAAAATTTTTGTTTGAGATGATTTAGGGTTCCAAATATATAAATTGAGTCTCAGATTTTGAATTTCAAATTTTTGAATTTTTAAATGACCTTGGATGGAGGAATGTTTTATATCAAAGTTGTAGTGCTCAACAATATCTAAAACTTTGTAGTTGAAAGTTTTCTCATTGAAGATTGTTTGAGTTAAAATATTGATTATAAGATTCATACATATTAATACAAATATATAGCATCGTAGAATTAGACACAAGTGACTGTGTGCTGCGGTGGTAGGGGGTGGTATCGTGCGAGGGATCGGTTGTGGGTTCGAATCCCGGATGTCGGCACTTATTCAAAACAAGTGAAAAATAAATCCCGTGAGCTGTGGCCGGTCCTCAGCCCTTCGGGCAATATTAGAAATATTTTTTTTTCTTATTTTTAATAGACTTTAAATGATTTTTAAAAAAAATTGAAAATTATTTTTAGGGACAGTTGACTTAAGTCAACCGCATTTGAAAATCGATTTTCAGAGACGGTTGTCTTAAGAGAACTGTCTCTGAAAATCGATTTTTAGAGGCGGTTTTAAAACTGCCACTCAAAATCACTCATTTTTACAATCGCTAGCATAGTAGCGGTTTTAAAACCGTCTCTGAAGATCATTTTTGACCGTCTCTAAAAATGTTTTCTGTACTAGTGATTCCTCCTCTGGATTTGAGCCCTCCTCGTCCTCTAGATCTGAGCCCTCCTCCTTCTCCTCCACCTCTATATCTGAGGGATGCGGCGGTGGCTAGGTGTGGCAGAACCGCCCGAAATAACATATTTTCGGAGGCGCTCGTCTTTCGCTAGACACTAAGCACCCTAAAAGTTGGCTACATCGGACGGTTCCATCGAGGACACTCCAAGGGAGAACTCGAAAAATCCACGTTTTTTATCCAGGATCCAATAGTGAGAACGAGCTTACAATACTTAGTCCATTTCATACAACTTGGGTTCT